AATAAAAGAGAATAAAATTATGGCATTTGAAGGTAAATGGATGAAGTTGGAGAAGATAATGCTAAGTAAAGTTAGCCCATCCCAAAAAAACAAATGCCGAATATTTTCTCTAATATATGGAAGCTGACTCATAGTGGGGTTAAGAGTGGGAGCATGGGAGGATTAGACAAACTCTAGATAGGGCAGAGGGGTGGGAAAGGAAAGGAGGGAGCATAGGGTTAGAAATGATGGTGGAATGATGGACATCATTATATAAAGTACATGTATGAAGACACGAGTAGTGTGAATATACTTTGTATATAAACAGAGATATAAAGAATTGTGCTTTATATGTGTAACATGAATTGTAATGCATTCCACTGTTATATATAACAAATTAAAATTAAAAAAATTATTTTAAAAAAACAAAAAACAAACAAGAAGAATGGTGTCGCATATACATATTTCAAGGGAAAGATTGCTCACCTGACATGTCTCTGTTTTCTGCTCAACTTTGTCCACAGACCCCCCAGCACACAGTAACAAAGCTTTGCACCTGTGTGTTAGGTGAATATGAGAACAGGAGTGTGACCCTGGTGAGAGTTGATGGTTGCTTTTGCAGCCTCTGTAGTAGCTGTCTGCTGCTCTTCATGCCCTTTGGAAGCATGTGGACGATACACTGTGAAATGAGTAGTACTTTGTTCTTTATTTATCAAGGAGCAGAAATCTGTGCGGGTTAGTCCTTGAGTGTGACACTCATGAGTGCTGTTAGCATGTCCACAGAACAGATAAGCAAGAACAGAGAAGAGTGGAGGAAACAGTAATTCAAGTTCATCTAGTGATGGAGTGGAAGAGAGTCAGAGATTTGCCTCCAATGAGTTGTATGTTCCAGTTCACTGCCCCCCCCCGCCCCACCTTTTCTTCCTTTAAAGCTTTGATTTGATTATGATGGACCATAATCAGTGTTTTATCTAATCTCACTGGTACTGCATTTCAGAGTCACGGTTGTTGAGAAGTATAAAATCTACTGGGTGAAGATTCCTAGTCAGATAATTTCACAACCAGATGCGCTTCCTTTTACAACACTTAAAGCCACAGTATCACCTTTGTCAACACCAACTCCAGTTTCCCGTTTAACCAAACCAGTAAGTAACATTTTTGTATCTTCACCAAATGCAATTAAAAATACAATAGAAAACAAAAATTTTCTTGGAAATTGTGGTTCTATTCTTGGCAAAGTGCCCAGAGAAATAGCTAGTCTGGGTTGTGGCAGCAAGTTTTTGGAATCACTGTAGAAATCTGAAGGAAGTTTCGTGGCAACATTATGATTTATAGGTTGGAATAAAGGAAATGCAAGACACCTGCATGATGAAAGTGTGGTTATAATATTCA